AAAAAAAAAAAAAAAAAAAAAAAAAAGGAAAAAAAAAACATACTCCAAATCTAGTAGCTTAAAATAAAATAAATGTATTATTTCAGATGCTAGCAGAGTTGCAGTCCTTCTGGAGGCATTTCCTTGTCCTTTCCAGCTTCCAGAAGCTACTCCCATTTTTTCCTCATGGTCCCCTTCCTCCGTTTTCAAAACTAGCAATGCAGCATCCTCAAATTTCCCTCTGACTCTGACCTCCTGTATTGTCTCCCCTTTCCACTTTTAAAGGTCCCTTGCAATTATATTAAGCCCACTTAGATAAGTCAGGATAATCTTCCCATCAGCTAATTATCAACCTTAATTCTATCTGCAATCTTAATTTCTCCTTACAATGTAAATTAACATACTCATAAGTTCTAGGAATTTGGATGTGAACATCCTTGGAAGACAATTATTCTGCCTACCACAGTCATACAGCAAGTAAATAACAGTTTCAGGATGGGAATCCCAGTCCAGTGGGTTCCTTCACCTTTTAGGTATGGTGGGGATACATACCCCAAGGTGCTCAGTGGAAATATGTTTTGAGAAAGAAGGAAGCTGGGATCTTGGCCAGAGAGCAAAGAAAAGAATCTTTGTGGCTAGAATTAACTGATAATAGAAAAACTGACTCGATAAGGTAGCATCTTGGTGAAGCTGGGAAGGCAGGGTACTACTTTCTTCCTTCTAAGGAAAAGGGAAATCCTGCTGTCTTGGCCCCAAAGAAAGCAAAGAAGACTAGCTCAAATTCCCAAGCCAATCAGCCATCAACAAGTGGGTCTGGAAGAACGTATTTAGACATGGAGTTTCCAGACTTTCTGAAGTCTTTCTCATGGACCTGGAGTTTTGTTTGTCTCTCTGGCTAGCTGAGAAGGTTAGGAGAAGATTGGAAATAAAAAAGAAAGAAGCTTGGGCTAGTCTGAGCTGATCTTGCTTTGCCTCCTACGAAAGGGCCTGCATGTGTTTGCCATCCTCCTTTTCATCTCCTTGTTCTGTACAGTGGTTTTCACCATGGCTTATATCATGCTGTGCCGGAAGATGTCCCAACAGGGTGAGTGATGAGTATGGCTGGGTGGCATTTGCTCATTCATTATTTCTGGCAGTATATTTGAGTCTACACTCGGTGTCAGGTATTGTGGGGTTTTTTTTCTTTTCTTTTTTTTTTACTGACCGGTAACGGGATTGCAACTCTCGGTGTCGCGCCCATACCGGGGACCGGCAACGGGATCGCAACCCTCGGTGTTGCGCCCGCACCGCGCTCAGCCAGTGAGCGGGAACCGGTCTCCACATGGGATCCGAACCCTCGGCGGGAGCACCGCCACGCTCCCAAGCGGCACACTCTCCAGTGCGCCACCAGGCCGGCCCCTGTGTTAAGACCTTCCAGGAGCTCCCAGCCTAGTTTGGGAGTGAGAGTAGGGGTGCAGGGAGACAGACATTTAAGTCAACAATGACATAAGACTTCTGGAAGCAAATGCACAAATATTTGGTATCCAGCCAAGTGCAGCCACTTTTGTAAAGAGTCACCACATAGTATGCAAGAGAAGGAGAAGTCACAACTTTTGCCCTCAAGTTGCTTACAATTTATTCAGGAGATTCGATATAGAAGCACAGAGTTTATCAATAACCATACATACCAATAAAGGCTATGAATTCAAAACCTGGAGAGGACAATCAATGCTAAAGGAATCCAGTAGAGAAGAGAGTAAGTTTGGGCTGGAGTAATTGGCTAGGGCTTTTAGAAGAAGGTTAAACTTAGATCAGGCTTTGGAGGATGAAAATAATTTGTTATGGAACAGTATTCCAAGCAAGAAGAATTATATGAGCAAAGGTGCAAAGGCCTAAAAGACAATTGAGAGGGAGGTCATCAATAAGGAAAATTTATGTAAATAAGCAATAGGGAAATACAGGGGAAAGGAAAGTTTATTCTTGATTATAGAAAGCCTTGAATGCCAAGCTAAAGAATTTGGACTTTCTTCACTAGGCCTTGAAAAGGCACTAAAAGTCACCCAAATTTTTTGAACAGGGAAGTGGAAATAAAGGTGCTCTTCTCAGAGCCATTTAACAGCTATAAACCAACAAAGATAAAAGAGAGAGAGAGAGAGGGAAAAAGAGAATTGGGATGTTTGTTTCAAAAAACCCTCCCACAAACCTAGCTACACTTCAATACCCACCACAGTAGTCATTTTGCCTAGAATTTTCTTTTCTCTTTCTCTGTACTATCTCCTACTCCCAAATAACCTGGAATCCACCAGGGGTCTCTCCAACCAAAGAGAAGATAGCCTTGAGTATCAATAACAATATGTGACCCATAAGGCTATGCCACATGCAGCTATAATCCATGAGGCTGAACTTGGGAGTGGAGATACCTCAAATGGCTACAGACCCCAGGAACACTAAAAGGAAAGCATTTACCATAGTCTTGATGAGGCAGGGCAAAAACAGTAACCACATTAGATTGTTTCCCTCTCAAAAACTTCCCATGCCTCTTCATGGCCCAGGGTATAGAGGGCAAAAATGTAGCATTCCATTCAAGGCTTTCTGTGATGTTGCTCTAGCCTTTCTCAAATCCCACTATTCCATTATACCTAATCCCATTTCCAATCTTTAGTATCAAACAAACAAATAGGCCTTATATACCATGCTTTTTCCCTTTCTGGATTGCCTTCCCAGAACTCCTGGTTTCTACCCCTCCATAAGGGAGACAGCCTCAGGGCATCAATTCAATTTATCATGTAGTTACCGAGGGACTATTGTTTGTCAAGATCTGGGCATATAAAGTATATGGCCCCTGCAGTATAGGAGTTCCCAGGCCAATAGGAGAGGTAAGACACAGAAATGCAGGGGTCTACCACAAGGCAGAAGGCCTGTGGCTTGCCCTGTTTACTTTGCTGTGGTTTAATGCATGCGTTCTCAGTTGTACCCCTGAATGATTATAAGCACCTAGAAGGCAGTACCAAGAGATAACCATTTTTGTACTAAGCTATCCCTTTGAGCCTGTATGGAATATAGGACACTTCTTCTCCACAGACACTAGGGGGCAATGGTAACCTATTATAGGGCCCTCCCTGGGTATGGGATTGGGGTGAGTACATTTGGGAGTGGCTTGAGCCATGGTCCCTGGCATCAGACTAATTCAGCTCCTTCTCCCTGTGCTCTGGCCTGACAATCAAGTTTCCCACAAGGACTTTCTGGGGATCTTTAATAAGATTCCTGGTGGAGAACAGGTCCAGTTCCAGTACCCTTCCTCCACCCACACCAAGCAGCTGCTCCAGCCCAACATCCTGTGTCAGAAATGCCAAAGAGGACAGCAACCAAGTGTGCTTCCCTTTCCGTTCCCTGGTAAATCTGCATCCATGTGTTTCAACTCATCTCCCCAATACCTCCTGGTGTTTGGAAAGCTTAAACATTGAAATACCCCTCTCTGTCTTCTTCCCTTATCTTTTGAACTGTTATCCAGGGTCCATGCTTGACCCTTGCCCACTCCCCATGGAAACTTCTGACCTGATTCCTCCTTCTTTTCTAGAGCATGTATATGAGTTGACCAGGTAAGATAGCCTCTCCTCTTCCATCTTCTGACCCCTTCCCTGCCCTTAATTCTGTTGGTCACTGGCAGGAAACATGGAGAAATGGGGTACGGCACAGACCCAATCCTAAGGCCACAGGTCCAGGATTAGAACACAGCTTTCTTTCCTCCCTGAGGTACCTCCTGAGGTTCTGTCCTGGCCTACCAACAGACAGGATAATTTAGGTCTACCAGCCCCCCTGTTCCCAGAATCCCTGGGGTGACAGGAGCCTGAGGGTCAGTTGGCAAGAATTGAGGCAGAAGGGTGGGAAACCAGGGTCCCAGCCCTAAGCCCCTTCTCATGTGTGGTGGACTCTTGGGTCATAGGGTGCATGCCAGGGAGGCCAGTGACTCTGGAGAAACCATGAGGGTGGCCATCTTCACAAGTGGCTGCTCCAACAATGAACCAGCTTCCCAGGCTATGGGCAGCCACTACTCCGATGAGCCCTGCCTGGGCCAGGAATATCAGATCATCGACCAGATCAACAGTGACTACACATGCCTTCTGCAAACAATTCCCCTGGATTATCAGCTTCTTGCCACTGAGGGAAAAAGCGTCTGCTAAAAATGCCACACTAGGCCAGGGTTTGCTGCCATAGTTGCCTGTTCAGTCCTCGCCTTCTACATGACCCTCTTCCCTGCTATGTTTTATCCTGGATAGCACAAAGTGTTTGCCTTGCCAACATCAGGACTTCTAGGAGTGACTAGCTTTGCCTAAAAATTTGCTATTTGCACCTCAAGCATCCAGCTGCTCGGTTTGGCCCTGGGCTCTTCCAGTATCCCTGCCTGGGGCTTCTGCTGCTTCTCTCCAAACACCAGAGGGAAGTGCCCATAGCTCTAGAACTTGGTCATTGTACTCCAGGGACCACTCAACTTTGTTCTCTTGCCATATGAAGACCAGAGGTAGGTTCAGCTAGATCAGCTCAGGGGACCAGCTATTTCCAGGATCAGTTCTCTTTCTCCAAAGCCAGACACCTTTTAGTTGAGATTGTCTTGTTACAGGCCAGGGTTCAGTTCTGTTCCTGCACTGTGAGTCTAGTGCTCTGGTATTCTTTTGGTGCTCAATAAATATCTAATCATGATAGCTACCTTAGTTGTGTTGGTTTTCTCTCAAGGTATGTTGTGGCCGACCAAGAATGATTAAAGTGAGACTAATTAAGATGGTTGGAGCCCCTGGGATTATGGCACATTTGCTTTTTTGATCTTTCCCTTCTCCTTCCATGCCACCCCAATCTCACTCCACAGGTATGCCCAGCTGGAACACAATAAATCTTTTGTTAAAAAGTGCTTCTCTAGCTTCCATTCCCCTTCCTATTGTCCTGCCAACTCTACCTGGATGACTGTTCTCAGGTCAACTAGACGCCTGAAAAAAAAGCAGCTCTTCTTTTGTCTCAGGAGAATATGGGTGCAGAGATGAAGGGTTTCCCTTCTTTCCAAAGTATGGATGCATCAACACCAAGTATTTCTAGTTGTTTGAATCCTAAAATCTTTGAGGTAGTTGAGTTATTCATAGATCATCTTTTCAAGCTCCTGGCCACATTTTAAAATGTGGGGTTGGGGTAAGAGCAAGGAAGTCTTCTCCTCAAGCAGGAATGTGGCTAGGAATGTGTGTGTGTGTGTGTGTGTGTGTGTGTGTGTGTATGCATATTCACACACTTTTAAATCAGGCTACCCTGTGAAGACATGTTCTGAGCCAGGTCTACACTGCTTCCTTTCCCCCTTGTAATTCATGTCAAACAAACTTCCTTACTTTTCATGGAAGCAGCCGTGTTGCCACTTCTGGTTCCAATGCGGCCCAAAGCTCTGCTCAGTTTTCACCAGGAGCTGTTCCCCTTTTGCAATGAATACAGAAGTCAAAATGCACACAAAAGTAAAGAACAAGGAGCCCTTCACTTTACCACCACCCAACCTGCCAAGTCCATGGTCCAAACCTCAGCATTTTCTTCATCCCCAGGAGCTAGCTTTACCCAGTTGGTGAAAGAAGCAACTTCTTTTTCCTTATTGTGCTTACAAACCTCTGAAACAGAGCCTCCACTCAGTAGAAACCCTGAGGTTTCTTTTCTTCATGAAACAGCTCTGTGTCCAAATCTCACAACCTTTGAAAACTTTCATTATTTTTTCTACTACCCTTAGAAAAAGGAATTCCTGAGGTAGGGGAGAGAATCCTACTTGCATTTCCACTAGTAAAAGGAGCCACAAATATAGGGGCTGTAGATATCCCTCCATAGGAGCTGTAGATATCCAAGGATATCTCAGAGTTTTTCATCTTAAAGAGCTTAGAGATTCTAAAACTCCCATATTACAAATGAGAAAATGAAGCTTAGAGGGGAAAAGTGTGACTTGTCTAAAGTCATATATATCAAGTCAGTGGTAGAACAGAGACCAAAAGTCAGTCCTGTGAACTCATAAGAGCATGTATTCTTTGCAGAAGGAACCTTTTAGAGATCTTCTTTGCCCCCAAATTGAACATCTTTCTTTCCATACAGGGCAAGCCAGTAAGGGATTACTAAGGTACAGAGGTAGCCAAAAGCTGCAGGATAGGCTAAACAAAAATGGAGTGATAACATGAGACTTGTCAGGTAGGTGGCTCGTCAGGGAAAAGTAAAGGAGTGAAAAGAGGGGAAGACCTCTAGAAGATAGGGAAGGTAAGAAGTTTCTCTAGATCAATTTCCCAAATTATGTTCCTTGGAACATTAGACCTAAGAGATGACTCACAGAGAAAAAAAAATTCCATAATTAGATAGGCATGGGAAATGCTTCATTCTATAGTTCCCTCTTGGAGATTCCCAATGCAACATTAGAATATTAAAGGCTCTAAAAGATCCTGCAATAAAGGGTCTGTATAACTTTGTATAACCAAGTAATTCCAAAACTTATTTGCCCTCTTTCTCCAGGCTTTGGCCCTATTTCTCAGGAAGGATAAAACCATGTTGACTCCTACGTCATAAACCCTAAAGCATTGTGCAGTCCAAAGTTTGATTTTTTTTTTTTTTTTTTTTTTTTTTTTTTTTTTTTTACTACACCCTGGGTAGCACTTGGCTCAAAGACCCAAAGCTAATGGACTAGTGGAAAGTCAATCAATCAATAAACATTTATTGAGTATTTTCTGTAACCAAAATACTGGGCTGTTGTACAGGAGGCAGCAATCAAGGAAACATTGTTTTGTCTTCTAGAAGCTCACAATCTAATGGGAAATTCAGGAATATCCCCTGAAATAGTTTACCAACAATTCAAAAAGTACTATTGGGTGGTAGAAGATAAAGGGGCACATATCAGGATGCAAGCAAGGAGTGCTTTGAGAATGAAGAAAAAGATCTAGGTTGATTTTCAAAAGTTTATGAGGAGGCTGGACTTTGGATGGGCCAGAAAATATGGAGAAGAATTCAACAGGCAGAGAGAAATAGAAAAGGCATTCCCAGAAGAAAAGGCATGAGGAAAAGGGAAGAGGAAGTTAAGGTCAAGGAGTGCTTAGAAGATGAGATTGAGTGCAAGGAAAGTGGGTTTCTGAGCCCTTCTTTCTCATGTAAGCCATGATGCTTGTGTGAGAATCCTGGTGTCTTGGCTGGGAGACCCTGGAAGGGGAATGTGAAAGAAAAGAATAATAAATTAAAGAGCATTTTCATAAGGACCCCTTATACCTTTTCAAGATTATTGTTGCCCTCTCAGTACTCTCACAATTTGTGTAGTCACAACCTAGGGCTGAAGTTCCCACAGCTGCCTCACTTTTCCCCTGGCACACTCTGAAGCAATGCCTCAGTTCCCTTAAAGTCACAGGAAATCACACGTGAAGGTTGGTGTTTGGCGAGTGTTCTTCTATCCAGCTGGTAATCTATTTGTTACATCCCATTTGCCCTGGCCCAGAGCTGCTAGGCATGTGCCGCACTTGGGGTATTTGACAAACTGACACTCTACCACATGGAGTGTCTAACTCAGCTTATCAAATACACAGAGCGTGGCACTGCAGGAGGCTAGGCCAGGGGCTCCCATGGAAAGGTGAGATCTCTCTGGGAGATGTGGCACTGGAGAAAAAGAGAGAGAAAGGAGAACAAGTAAATGTTAAAATATTTTTAATTTTAAAAAAAAATAACTAATTTTTAAAAAAAAGAGCTGTGAAGTCACACCCTGAGCCTCAGGGAGACTGAAAATATTGAAGGGACCAGCAGAAGCACCAAAATAAGGAAGTGAACAAAATAGGCATAAGGCTCCTGACCAGAAGAGGGATCCTGAAGGTAAGTGGGGAAGAGCCAGTTGAGACTCAGGTGAGGCACAGTGCTCAGCTGGAAGCTCCTCAGGCCTGGGTCCTGTAGCTATGGCATTTCTAGGGGTCACGAGCCTTAGTAGACTTCTCTATGCCTTGCTCCCTCTATTTCCTCACTCCCCTAATCTGTGTTCTCATAGTGCTGTGGTTATGCACATAGGCTTTAATGGTTAAATATTGACTTGAATCCTAGATCTGTCGTTAGCTAGCTGGACAACCTTAAATAAATAATTTCAACTCTCTGAGCTCCAGTTTCACACATCCACAAAATGTTTCTAAGTATAGTACCTACTTCATAAGGTCATTGTGAGAATGACATTAGACAATGAATGTAAAGCCCTTAGTTCAGTATTTGATATGTAAAGATGCTCAAAAAAAAAAAAAGAAAAAAGATGGCTGTGCTATAAAAAGGAAAGCAAGAGCTACTGGCAATTGATTTAGCAGAGCTAGGAGAGAAGTGACGGTGATTTCTCATGGGCTCTGCCTTTCCTAACATAATCCATTTGTCCCCTAAGTACTCAAGAATAGTAGCTGTAAAAGTGCCCTTAGGGATCATCTACACTCAACCACTCAGGTTATAAATGAGGAAACAAAGGCTCATATTGGGGAATAGACTCGCTGAAGATCATACAACAAGTTGTTCGCAGTTCAGTGTTATGCCCTATACCAACCCATTGTGCTCTCCAGCTTTCCTTATTTGCCCTTTTACCTCCGTGATCTGTATATCCCTCCAGAAAAGGGAGTGCACACCAACAAAGAGGGCAAAAAACAAGCAGTGGACCTTTGAAGTGCAGCATTTTAGACCCTTGAACCCATAGCAACCAAGGCAATAAGGAAACTTCTAGGAGCAGAGTCAGAGCTGGAACTCCCAGGAGAATTTTCTCAGCAACACCCAGATCCTGTTGTTAAAATTGTCAGGTTGCCAGTGTCAAATTCTTGCCCTTCCCAACTATGGAAATTGATCTGTGAAGAAGTAGCCAGTCTCTATTAATACTGGCACGAAAAGTGGCAAACATCCTAAGTTTACCAGTAATGGAAAATTGCCCTATGAGGCCGGAAGGCCCTGTCCCAGCCAAAGCAAGGCAGAGGGATTCAGTTTTGTCTTTCAGCATAAAAATACTCAGAGTGTTTTTTTCCTCAACTCTTTTAGTTAAATGTAAGGAGGTGACATGAGATGTGGGAGTGACCTCAAAGCTAAGACACAAACTGTTTTTTCCATCCCTTCACTGTCCTCTCTACCTAAGCCACTCAAAAATATAGCTCACAGTCAAAACATCAGTCATGATCACCAGACATGATATAATGGA